ATGGTGTGTGTTATCAATGTCATGAGCACTGTCTCATTTCACTCTGTGGTCATTTGTAAAAACTTCCAGTGTCAACACAGATACTCATCATAATCTTGTAGCCTTGTGTGCCTAAATAGCTACACATTTATGGAAATACCAGAGACAAGTCAACAGTAAATGCAGACCAAGAATCTTCATAAATTTTCTTGTGCTGTACTTTACAGACACAGGGTATTTCCCATAGTATAATGCACTTCTGCAGGACTTTGCTCATAGGATGCTCTGGAGGGGCATCAAACCTAGTGGGTAGGAACACGTACCCTCTCAGGCCCCATCCTCTTGCATTGGCATGTTCTGCCTTTAAAAAGAACAGATATTTTTTATTTACATATCATAATGCTAACATAAAGTGTTGGGGATGTTTAACCTGTAATGGGAAGCAAGTCTCTGCTCACAAAAACAGGGTATGCGGGACAGGTATGTTGTGCACCAAATGTTACCCCCGCTGAAAACATGATTGATGCTCTCAGCAGGAGTCAGTGACAACGGAAATAAATTAAATTATGAGCCTTTAAAAGTATTAAATTAAGAAACACTTTATAGTATAACATGAGGAAAAGCAGGTGGCTAGAAAACTTTTAACCTACATCTGTCATAAGAGGTAAGAACTGTTTTTTTATAATTTATCAGGGTCCCAACTCAAACTTGCCATCACCTCACTTACTCACCGCAAGAAGCTCCTGCAATGAGTAAGTCCTGCCATGCAGGGTTGCACTATTGGCTGAGAGCATTAGCTGAATGTTCTCAGCCAGTGAGCATGGCCCTTCATTGCTGGGTTAGCTCAAAGACCTGTGCTTCCATTTGCAGGATAGGTGATAACAGGCATCCAGCTGGACTTAGGTAAGTAATCAAATCATTCTTAAACAGTTTGACTACTTAGTCTTGGAGGGCACAATAACTACTACAGTGAGCTGTAGTGTAAAAGGTCAATGTGATGAATCTAGAGTGGTGGAAATTGAATTACCTGGGTGTAAGCAGGGTTGGAGAAGACAAAGTATCTTGAGATGGGTAAGAATGAGGATAAGTGGTTAAGAAATGGTTAATGTGTGAGAAGATTCAGTTCTGCTGTACCATTTTTATGACAATGAAAAAAACTCTCAGGACAGATGAATTTCAGCCACTTGTTGGTTTGGCTCAGCAGAATTTATGTACCATAACCTGATTCAGAAAACAAATCAGATGAACCAAAAGGGCATGATCAATGTATTGCAAAATGTATACATAATATTAATATTACAAGCATTTTCCTGCAATTTGGTTCACTGATCAAGTGAGTAAAAGTAACCAACAAAGGGATAACAGGAGAGCAGTAAAAACAAATCTGTATAATATATAAATATAGATTTTATTTTGTTTTACTGCTCCTAGATTTGTTCCTCTTTTGGTAACTTCTCACTTGATCTCTGAAACAAATTATGTTCAGGGACGTTTCCATAGCCATCAATCATCTTTTACCCCATTAGTCATCCATTTATTTATTTTTTTGCACCATGTGCAAAATTCAGAATCATAGAATAATAGAATGTGACGGTAGATAAAAACCATTTGGCCCATCTAGTTTGTCCAGTTTTCTAAATACTTTCATTAGTCCCTGGCCTTATCTTATAGCTAGGATAGCCTTATGCCTATCCAATGGATACTTAAACTCCTTTACTGTGTTAATCTCTACCATTTCAACTGGAAGGCTATTTAATGCATCCATTACCCTCTCAGTAAAGTAATACTTCCTGAAATTATTTTTAAACCCTTGCCCCGCTAATCTAAGTCTAATGTCCTCGTGTTGTGGTAGTTTTTCTTCTTTTAAACAGTCTCCTCCTTTACTGTGTTGATTCCCTTTATGTATTTAAATGTCTCTATCATATCCCCCCATCTCATCTTTCCTCCAATCAATACATGTTAAGATCCTTTAACCTTTCCTGATAAGTTTAATCCTGCAATCCGTGAACCAGTTTAGTAGCCCTTCTCTGAACTCTCTCTAAAGTATCAATATCCTTCTGAAGATACGGTCTCCAGTACTGCGTACAATACTCCAAGTGAGGTCTCACCAGTTTTCAGTACAATTGCATGAGCACTTCCCTCTTTCTACTGCTAATATCTCTCCCTATACAACCAAGCATTATGCTAGCATTTCCAGCTGCTCTATTACATTGTCTGCCTACCTTTAAGTCATCAGAAATAATTACTCCTAAATCCCTTTCCTCAGATGTTGAGGTTAGTGTTGTATCAAATATTTTATACTCTGTCCATGGATTTTTACATCCAAGATGCATTATCTTGCACTTATCCACATTAAATGCCAGTTGCCACCGCTCTGACCATTGAAGGAATGAATCATGAATCAAAATGAACATGCTTGGCCATTGCACATTTCAGTTTTTCATGATTCAGCTATATTTTGGCTCAAAGTTCAGAAGTTAGACTGATCATCTGATCAGCCCAAATTCAGATAAAATGCAGTTCAAACAGAAATGCAACTTCCAATCTAGTGGGAACAGTCTGAATCACGATTGGTGACTGACTGCATGGAATGCGGTTAACACTGAGATGGGCCTACACGAGAATACACAAGGTTAAATTTGCTGTGTGGAAGACTAAGATGTGAATTACAAGGGCCAACATGAAAAGGGATAAATGGCTTACATTTAACCACAATTAATTTGCTATTTTAGATTGTGTTCCATAAATCAAAATACGTTTTACTTATATACCATATGTTTTGTCAATGTTTCAGTCCTCAAACAGACTTTCAAAAAAAGAAAAAAGATAATCCAGTGCACTCCATTCCAGGGCCCTACTTAGCCTTGTACTGCAGAGAACTCTAGATGGTAACTTCTCACTTGATCTCTGAAGCAGAAACTAGGCTGGTATTGTAGGACTTGCCAAAGATGGGGTACATTGACGTTGTGGCAGGCTTATGCAATGTATGATCATATAATGTAACTAAACCCCCATTATTTTTTGCCTGGATTAGGTGATTTAAAAAAAACTTTAAAAAAACGAACTAAATCTGTCAGCACTGACGTTGCTGTTTAGTGGATAAGGGAGTGCGCTGGATTTTCTTTTTTTATTGTATAAATTGGCTCCCAGCAGCACCCTTTTTATGCACATTCAGGTGAGTGTAGCCAGCCCCCTGTTTTCCCAAACAGACTTTCATCAGGACAAATAAAGGAATGAAAAAACAAGGTTTTAATAGCCCAAGACACCCCCCCCCCCCAAGTGACAGATATACTAACAGACAGTGAGGCTGGAGCCCAGGTGATATCTAATCATAGCAACCTGTGCATAGAGACGCTATACCAATCCCACACCCCATGTGCCCCTGTAGACATAACAAGTGGAGATAAAAAAAAAAAAAGCTTTAAAAAAGTGAATAGATATGTACAAACCTGACTTCCACCAATGGAACATTAAATTTATATATATTCACCACATGAGATAATGACAAAGTGAAAAATATACATATATAATAGACCCAACACTGGGAGGAAAAATCAATCGCAGACATAACTAATCAATACATGATTTTCTGGTTAAACATAAGGAAACAGCTTGCATATAGGCATATTAAGAAATTGAAATACTGTAGAATATTTCCATAAGCAAAAAAAAAAAATCAATTAAAAAAAAATCAATAGCAGGCATGATCAATAAATGCATATAAACTACAGATATCATATAGGCATAATGAGTAAATGCATAAATCACTGTAGGAAATCTCAAAATGTACATAGGCTGAGGATACTGAAATAAATACAATGTATAACAGTGTAAGCAAACATCAAGCCACATGATAAAGAAATATCTGAACTATGAAAACAAAACAAATATTGCAAACATAACATCACAAGTTTGCTATCACAGCATAACATCATATAGCTCAACAGGGCACCAGCGACCTAGCTGTGGCAACAAATTCCTAAATACATGAATCTCTACAAAAATATGTAATATTTCTGGCTACAGGCAAGATAAATGAAATAGTTGAATTAAAAAATTCCAGAAAAGGACCAGCTATCCTTTATCTCTTGGGAATATTGCAATGAAAAGGATTAAACTCATACAAGCCCCAGGGGGCTACCGTTCCCTGACTAAAATCCAAAAAGCCTCCTGTCAAAATATGTCATTGTCTCTGTCACCCCGTCTCGGAGAGGATGGAATGTGATCAATGCTGCTAAACTTTAGCGAGGCTGGTGGATGCCCAGCTTCAGTGCCTAGCTACAGGGGTAGCAATATCCAAGTCCCATGGACCAGCGATTATTTTCAATGTTCTCTGAGTTGATTATTGGTCCTGAAGCAAGAGTGGTGACTGGCTGCACTGAATGGGGTTAAATCAGACATGAGACTACACGAGGGTACATGAGGTTCAATTTGCTGTATGGAAGATGTGAATTACGGGGGTTAAGAGGAAAAGGGATGTATGACTTATATCTAATTTAGTATGTCAATGAGTGCATCAACAACAATTTCTATGTTAGAAGCTGTCTGAGCAGCACATTATGAAGTTACAATATTTTATTTTCAAACATTGCTCAGGCATGATCAACGGTGGCTGGAATTTAAAATGCTTGATCCTGCCATAGGCAATACAATTCTCTAAAATAAGATTTATTTTTGTGTGTGTGTGTGTGTGTGTACACATTGTACTTTCAAAATAATGTAATAATAATAATAACTAAAAATAATCTGCCAAGTGCAGAACATTTGTGAGTTGACATCTACAATCTCTGTTACGTATATTTCTTCACCTCGAATATGTCAGGTGTGTCTGGTTGTAGAGATATTGCTGCCTTTCATTCCCTTGATGCTGGATGTACCTGCAGTAGAAGCTATGTGTGCGCGCGCGTGTGTTTGTGTGTGTGTGTGTGTGTGTGTATACACGATGTCGGTCACTATCCCCTCTCTCAGACAGCTATCTCCACTCTATCCACTTAGCGTTCCTCTCAGCACCTCGGACAGCTCCCGGAGAACTGCTCATTCATTGCTGTCAATCTAAGGACGTGACGAGACAGCACAACCAATACCAGTTCACATTGTGCTCTAAAGAAAAAAAAAAACCTCAGATTAATATTATGAGAGGCGGGACTCACTCATCTCTACAACAGCAGCTCTTATTACGTTCTAGCTGAATTTTTCAAGGGAGAGAGATATAAAAAAACAAAACATCCAGGTAGTAAGGAAGGAGCCAAGGCAGGAAAGTGTCAGATAGACTTCACAAAGGCTTGTGGCGTGCTGTTTGCACTGAGCATCTCCTGCACTGGACCTGTTCATAGAAGTGCTGTCTGTCTCACCCCCCACAAAATAACAGGTCTCCCTATATCAAGGGCGTTTGTTACATCTAGCCTCCTCTCTTTCCCATCGCTGTGTGTAGATTCTAAACAGTGCTATGGAGCAAGAGAAATATTTGCCAGAGCTGATGGCAGAGAAGGATACCTTGGATCCATCTTTTGTTCACGCTATGCGCCTCTTAGCTGAAGGTAAGGGGACTTCCAGTCCAGTGTGTGGGTGGTTTGTTGCTATGAGCAGTAATGCTTGCTTTTAACCCTTGAAGTGCTGGGGAGTTTCAAGTGGCCCACTCCTCTAGCACTCAGTGTTAAAGATACATTTTGTTTCTAGAATGTTTGGTTGCAGCATGCAATATTTTGCCACAGATCTGGAGGAATTTGCAGCAAAGGCAGGCAACTTTGTGAAAGTATAAATATACGCAAATCAAAGATGATATGGAAATCGAATCAGATGTGTCCAGCACTATCAAAACGCAAGATCTCAAGCATACAGCACTCACTGCATTAAATATGAATGAAGGAACTGTTAGTTTGGAAACTAATCGATGCTTTTTCTTGTGTTCATCTCTGATTAGTAGAATGCTTTCTGGTAGTCATAATGTTTGATTAAAGACTTTGTTAAGCTGGGGGTTTAATTGAAGCCTAGGTTGTGTTGGGAATTTTTTTTTTTATTCTGCTGGTTCTATTATTCGTTTTTGGGGTGAATTGTTTATGACAGAGGACTGCAGAGAGTGTCAGTCATGCTTTCTTTTCATAATCACTTATTTCGAGTCTGCTACAGACTTTCTAGTCTCTACATTGTGCTCACAATTATTTCAAGGCATGGTTTCAGTTTAAGGAAATCGCTTAACAGCTGTTATACTGAAATTGCAAATGCTGCTCGTTTGTTCTTACTTGTTTCAGTAAATAATATCACACGACTGCTTATTTCCCTTTTTCACACTGTAAATAGTTTCATCAATTTTACAACTTTTGCAAGTAATAGTCAAACTGAATTTTTATGAAGCCATATGATTCCAATGACATAGTTAAAAGTCAGATTTTTTTTCTGGTCTTTTTTTCATTACTAATTTCTTACAACCATAAGAAAGTAAGGCGGATGAGGATGAATCCCCACATCTCATTTCATAGATCCTTAAAAGGATGTCTCAAACTCAGAGGTGAGGTGAAAGTTTAATCAGGTCCCTACAGATTCCATGCTCTCACTCCTCCTGAGAGAAAGAGAAAGGGAAACATGCTGATGCTGCTGTGTTGACTTGCTGGAGGAAAGACAAGTCAGTTAAGAAACCTCCAGAACTTGGACATGCTACTAGTGTGGCAGGTGATGTGGACATTCACCAACTGTAGATAAGGACTGATTGTGAGGCAGACACACACTCATATTAGCACTATCCTGTACCAGCCGACTGTACTCTTACTCCAACTGTTCCCCAACTTTCACTATGTTGCCCAGGCCCACTCCACTGCAACTCCCACTAACCTGCCCCAGCCTACTCTACCCCAACTCCTACTAACTTGCCCCCAGCCATGATATATCAGCTCTCACTATCCTGCCATAACATCCAATATTCTGCCCCAGCCAACTCTGCCTCAGAAATCCTGCCCATCCCACTACAGCTCCCAATGTACTGGTCCAGCCCACTCTACTCCAAGTCCCACTAAAACTTCCACTATCCTACCCCAACACTCTCTGCCTAGACTCCAACTATACTGCCCTAGCCCACCTTCATCTCTCGCTATTCTACCATAATGCCCACCATCCTACATCAACTCCCATTATCTTGCTCTGGAGGTTTCTTATCTGGCTTGTCTTTCCTCCAAAAAACTCCCCAAATTTTTCCCCAGCTCACTCTACCTCAATGCCTACTATCTTACCTCAACGCTCACTATCCTGCCTGAACTGATTGTACCCCATCTCTCACTATCCAGCCATAACTCCAAATATCATGCAGTAGCCCACTCTAGCCCATTTCTCATTAGTCTACTATGATGCCCAGTATCCAGCTCACGTTAGCTGACCCAATCCCCCAAAATCTTTCCTAATGCCACTTTACGCAAAATTATATTTTCTTGTCCCAGTTCTGCTCTGCCCTACTGCCACCATCACTACTGATTACTCTACCTTAAATCACACTTTGCTGCCCCAGCCCAACTCCCACTGTCCAGTTACTGCCCCACTCCTGCAATGCATTCTGCAGCAAGTGCCACAACTTTCATTATCCTACCAAAGCCCAAAGTCCCACTGTCATTCTGTTACAACATCAGTTTACCTAACCACTTTACCTCAACTTCCATGAGGCTGCCTTCTCTTCCTCAACTACCACTAACTTCATCCTACCCATTTCCACCCCTCTAAAAATCTCATGATCCAGAATACTAAGACAACAAACAACTCTCCCTGCCTCTCTTACCACTGCCAGATGCTCACGTATCTTCCATTACCCATATCCAAGTGCCCAATATTTGTCAGAGAAACAATAAATAAACCACATCAAACATAAACTGCCTGTGACAAATTATTTATTGATAATAAAAATAATAATTATAATAATAATAATGATGATATTTATATAGTGCCAGCATACTCTGCAACACTTCAAAATTATAGAATAGGGATATCTGACAACAAGTAATTGACATACAAAATATTAACAGACACAAGAGGTCAAGACACAAACAAACTTGCAGTCTATGAGGAATGTGTCAAAATAAGCTGAAAAAGGCGTCATTACTTCCACGGATGGACTTGCACTCCACGGAGATCCCTGGATTCCCATGTACTGACCCTTTGATGCAAGCTATATGTATGCTTGCTAATGGTGGCTAGTATTTTTTAGTCATGGCAAGTAGCACAGAGTATGAAATGTTGAGCCCTGTTAATTTTACATATGCAGGTATACATGCAGAGTGTTTTTATTTGTTCTACATTTTGAAACTCTGTTTCACCTATTAGTGATAATGTATGTTTTATATATAAGGTATGTATGGTGCGCATTTTTTAATCACTGATGGACAGTGTCACTGCTATTGGTTAAAAACAATGTTAATGTAATTGAATTACATTCCAGCAGGGGGTGCATGTGCTTTGTGCGAATGTTGTATGCACATTTATGGCATCCTTAGAGGGTGATTAATTCCAAACAAACATTTAAACATGGATGCTGAAATGATATATGGGATAGGTCATATAGTAGGTTATAGTAGATTTTATTATCACATTTCTTGATTTTTGTGGTTTCATTCTTTATTGTAAACACATTCTTACTTTTATTATTTTAGGAATTAATAATTATCTGTGGCTTGACTTTTTATTATTAAAGGTTGAATATAATTGGAGAAACTCATTTAAAATTATTTTTCTTTATTCTACTATAGCAAAGACCCTGGCACATTGTATAAGGGTGGCAAAAATTTAGCTGGAGCTGTAATGCAGCATATTTTGTTTTACTAACAAAGGTTGTTGAAGCATAACAAGGACACTAACACTGTGTGTATAACAAGGATCAGCACAATTCCATTACATTTTTCCTTTTCTTGTGTTAATAAGAATTATTTAGAATTTCTCTTTTGTTAGATGCAATTGTAGTCAAACCCAAAGACAGGATAGCATATGGGAACACTAAAATATATTGTCTCTGCATTGATTGCATTTTACATATAAAACTTTAGTCTGCCTTTTTCAATATCCATGAAATACATCTTTGTGTTTATTTACATATATAAATTATATCTGTGTGTGCGTGTGTGCGTGTGTGCGTGCATGCATGTTTGTATGTATGTGTGCCTGTATATATATATATATATATATCATTTTTTTCAGAGATTTTGCTGTATAACGCGTATCAAGCCTAATGTGTATTTTATCCAACAGTCTATTATAATAATGATTACAGGTTTTAGTATATCATTTATCACACAAACTTTAAGTTCAGTATGCAATTAGGTAGTCCCGTTTATTTGGTATTATTATTTGTGATCTCACAATACAGTTAAGTAATGCAAGGCCAATAGTTATAATTTAGAAATGTTATGTTGGTTTGTTTTGAAAGGTTATGGGTTAAATGTAATAAGTAATTAATAAGGCATGTGTTCGCTAAACTTACTCATAGCATCACAGAAGGTATCTGTGTGTTGACTATAAGCAAAACTCAGAGCAGTTATGAGTCAATGAAACCAAGTAATGTTCAATTTCGGTTTATCTTAATGTCATATAATACATAAAGTACCTTTATGATTAGCAGTGGTGTATATTCATATAAAGGAAAATATATACAAAACATGCTTAGAATGGTACTGACTTTTAAAGGTTTTTTTTTTGCAGGGGGAGGGTGGGAATAATATTCAAGTTGTGAATGTTGTAAATTTTTTTAATTTTATTTTTCCATATTAGCTATTTCATGTCATAATTTTGGCGATTTGATTATTAATTTCCCGCAATTAAAATTTTTCCTTGTTACCATCAAGAATTACATAATTAAAAAAGGTGTCTTTTTTTCTCATTCTCAGCAAGAATACTTTATCCAGTATAGGAAATCATAACAGCTCTGATGAATCACATATCAAAATAAAATGTAACTATTTAAAATAGGAACCAATGAGGTATTATCTAAGGAAAAAATAAATTCCTTGGACTCATCATACATGTATTCGTTAAGGTCTATTCACAAAGGTCAAGATGTACAGGTTTTGAAAGCAATGGGTCTGGGGAAATACTTATGGAAAAACCTTGCAGTCTGCTTATTACTAAGGCAAGTCAGTAAGTGCCTATTGTACAATGTGGATATTCTCTATCCTGACCCAACTCATCTGAGCTGGTTAATTAACATTCATTAGCCAGCTCAGATGAGTTGGGTCAGGATAGAGAATATCCACATTGTAATTATTAAACAACTATTTATATGGATATGAAACATAGGCAAGTGACTTCTTCAGAGAACAGAATATCCAAGGTATTTAGCACGCTGCAACAGTTTTAGGATTTCATAATGTATTAATTGTGACATAATGAGGCTTATTCATGCAGCAGTTAGTGTGGTTAGTAGAGAACTGACTTGCAAAACATGGGCCAAAATTGGTGGACAAATATTACATATTTTGTTGACCTTCAGATTTGATTTTCCCTCTTGGCTTCATTCACCTACATTTTGGAAGTTAGATCTCAGTGAAGCACAATGTTTAGTAAATAGATCTCAAAATGGAAATTATAAGTCAAATATGGTTATGACTTTGATGCCCAAAAATCACAGCATAGATAGATGCATGTGCAGGTAGACAGACAGACAAACAGGCATTTAATATAATGATGCAGAGATTGTCCTCTGGGTCTCTCATCCATTTAGTTTGTGTTTGCTAGAATGAAGAGAAATACCCAGAGGTGATCCTCAGTCTAATATTGTGAAAGGATTTACTGCAGGATATTTATGAAAAGTGACATGGGAGCATCCTGAAACACTCCTTTAGTAGAAGAAAGGCGTAGAGATGTCCAGTGAACTTGGCATCAATTCAAGCTTTGACATTTCCACTTTCTACACTATGAGAATATTATTTTTTTTCTCTGATGTATCCAATTTACTTTGTGATCAAATCAAATAGTTAAGTATCTCAAAAAAAATGAAACATTTCAATTTCTTTTTTTAATGTTTTTATTTTCATTTTTTTCTATTTAACGTCTTGTTATTAAATTTGAATTTAAATGCTGTCACACCATTTAAACAGGCTTAAAGGAACACTTCAGACCCCTAGATCACTTTAGCTTGATGAAAAGTTTCATATGTGAAGAGTGTGTCCTCTTTATTTCATTTTGCAAAAAGTGCAGATTTCAGTAGAAATCAATACTGTTAAAATGAAAATGGTTATACCCCTTGGGTTTCAAGCAGACAATGGGTAATGTTACTTCCTGGTTTGTTAGCTCAGTGTAGCTAAACACAAGAGTCAACAATTGCTCAGAGCAACTGTTTTGCAAAGACTAATTGTTGAGCTGTGTTAGGAAGTCTGTCATTGGACAGCCACAGAAAGTCTGGGTTGGGTTAGCAGGGGAGTGTTTGCAAAGGCAAACAAGAGAACTGAATGTGTTGCAAGCTGTTTTTAGATACGATTAGGTCCAGAAATATTTGGACACTGACACCATTTTTAAATACTTTTGACTCAGTATGCCACCACAGTGGATTTGAAATGAAACAACCAAGATGGGGTTGAAGTGCAGACTTTCAGCTTTAAATCAAGGGATTGAACAAACGTATTGCAGGAAATGTTTAGGAATTGCAACCATTTTTCATGCACAGTCCCCTTTTATTAGGGCTCAAATGTAATTGGACACATGAACACAATAATATTAACCCCTTCAGGACGGGTGACGGACGAGGTCCGTCACACAGGGGAGACCCTTAACGACGGGTGACGGACCTCGTCCGTCACGCGGTAAAATTAACCCCGGATCGCCGCTATATCGCGGCGATCGCGGGGTTAATGGTGCTCCCGGTATGCCTCTGCATTAGAGGCATACCGGGAGCACCCGGTCAGGCTGCCCAGCACATGTGCTCGCTCTGACCGCAAGTCAGAGCGAGCACATGTGCTCTGTATACTCACCTACCGGCTCCCTGCACTTCCGGGTTCTGTGTGAAGTGCAGGGAGCCGGATCAGTGCTGATCCTGCCCCCTGCTGGAAAAAAAAATAAAGTTTATTTAAAGTCCCCCCCCCCTTACCCATTTTAATAAAAAAATTAACCCCTTCCCTGCCAATTGATCACTGACTACAGTGATCAATTGGCAGGGATTACATTTTACTATGATCTGATTATTTTTTTTTAACCCCTGAGGGTTAATTCTTTTTTTTTTAACCCTCAGGGGTTAAATTAATTAAATTAATTAATTAAATTATTTTTATATTATATATTTAGATAGCTGGGGTAGGTGGAAGTTAGTGGGGAATTGGGGGATTTGGCGTTAGGCTAACTAGGGGTTAACGTTAAAAAAAAGTTTTAAAAGAAACTTTAAAAAGTTAAAAATTAAGCTTAAAAAAAGTTTTAATAACATTTAAGTAATAAAAACAAAAAAACACACTTTACCTAGTCCAAATAAAAATTAACCCCTTCCCTGCCAGTCGATCACTGCCTACAGCGATCAAATAGAGATCACAGTATTATACTGTGATCTAATTTTTTTTAACCCCTGAGGATTAACTTTTATTTATTTTTTTTAACCCTCAGGGGTTCAATTTATTTAATTAATTAATTTAAATATTTTATAACTATATATTTTGCTAGCTGGGGTGGGTGGGAGTTATGGGAAAATGGGGAATTTACTGTTAGTGCTGCGTACTGCTAGTTAGGGGTTAACAGTAAAAAAAATAGCTTAGAAAAATGTTAAATCTGTAAAAAAGTTTTAAGAAAGTTTAGGAAAGTTTAAAAAAAATTTATAAGCAAAACAAAAGTTTAAAAACTAGTTTTTAAAAGTAAAAAAGTTATAAAAAGTAAAAAAATACATTTTAAAAACGCTCATTACCACTACACCTGGAACAAACTAGAGAAAAAATTATCCCACGCCAAGGTTCAAAATATGCCTTTTGAATTACCCCAGGGTGTATTCTTTAATAAATAGTATGTGTTTGTGGGGAAGTCTCAATAACCAACCGTCTAAACTATTCCAAATTGGAACATGGACACAGCGTAAAACTTCAAAGTTAGAAAAAAACTGAATGGCTGCGTCTCAAATGCGCCCCTTCAACATCCACATATACCTGGCAAAGGTACATACGGGGGTATTGCTGTACTCAGCCGACATAGCTGAGCAACATATGAAGTATTATACAGTCATAGTACACATAAGGTTTGCAAAATATGCTGCGCAAACTCACTTTGTATGTCAAAAAGGCAGAAAAAATGCTTATTACCACTACACTTGGTACAAGCTAGCGGAAAAATGATCCCACACTAAGGTTCAAAATATGCCTTTTGAAATACCCTGGGATGTCTTCTTTAAGAAATGGTATGGCTTTATGGGGAATTTGGATTATATAGCCTGGTAAAATACTCTAAAATGGGACATAGGCACAGCATAAAAATTCAAAGTTTGAAAAAAACTGGAATGGCTGTGTCCCAAATGTGCCCCTCCGATGTCCACACATACCTGGCAAAGGTACATACGGGGGTATTGCTGTACTCAGCCGACATAGCTGAGCAACATATGAAGTATTATACAGTCGTAGCACACATAAGGTTTGCAAAATATACTGTGCAAACTCACTTTGTATGTCAAAAAGGCAGAAAAAACGCTTATTACCACTACATCTGGTACAAGCTAGCGGAAAAATGATCCCACGCTAAGGTTCAAACTATACCTTTTGAAACACCCTGGGGTGTCTACTTTAAGAAATGGTAGGCCTTTGTGGGGTAGATTGAATTTAAAACCTGCGAAGATGCTTGGAAATTGCACATAGGCCCAGCGTCAAAATTCAAAGTTTGGTAAAAACGGATATGGCTTGGTCTCCTATATGGCACTGTAGCTTCACAAAATAGTGACAAAGACATTCATTGGGGGTGTATTTTTACTCAAAAGACTTAGCTGAGCATAATTTGGGAGGTTTGAACTTAGTGGCACATATGAAATATACAAAACGCCCAGCAAAAATGCAATCCGTATGTAAAAAATGCACAAAATAATTTTTTACCACATACTTTGGCATATATTGGTGAAAAAATGGGGGTATGTTAAGGCACAATATGCACCTTATGAGATACCCTGGAGTGTCTACTTTTACAAATGGTAGGCCTTTGTGGGGTTTTTTTGAACAGTCAAACTGTTATAATACCCCAAATGGAAGCTAAGGCTCATTAAATCCATCTCTCAAAATTCTACTGTGAATACTGTAAAGGACAGGTCTCCTATATGGCACTGTAGCTTCACGAAATAGTGCCAAAGACATTCATATGGGGTGTCATTTTACTCAGAAGACTTAGCTGAGCATAATTTGGGGGTTTGAACTTAGTGGCACATATGAAATATACAAAACGCCCAGCAAAAATGCAATCCGTATGTAAAAAATGCACAAAATAATTTTTTTACCACATACTTTGGCATATATTGGTGAAAAAATGGGGGTATGTTAAGGCACAATATGCACCTTATGAGATACCCTGGAGTGTCTACTTTTACAAATGGTAGGCCTTTGTGGGGGGTTTTTGAACAGTCAAACTGTTATAATACCCCAAATGGAAGCTAAGGCTCATTAAATCCATCTCTCAAAATTCTACTGTGAATACTGTAAAGGACAGGTCTCCTATATGGCACTGTAGCTTCACGAAATAGTGCCAAAGACATTCATATGGGGTGTCATTTTACTCAGAAGACTTAGCTGAGCATAATTTGGGGGTTTGAACTTAGTGGCACATATGAAATATACAAAACGCCCAGCAAAAATGCAATCCGTATGTAAAAAATGCACAAAAATTTTTTTTACCACATACTTTGTCATATATTGGTGAAAAAATGGGGGCATGTTAAGGCACAATATGCACCTTATAAGATACCCTGGAGTGTCTACTTTTACAAATGGTAGGCCTCTGTGGGGTTTTTTTGAACAGTCAAACTGTTATAATACCCCAAATGGAAGCTAAGGCTCATTAAATTCATCTCTCAAAATTCTACTGTGAATACTGAAAAGGACAGGTATCCTGTATGGCACTGTAACTTCACGAAATAGTGCAAAAGACATACAATGGGGGTGTCATTTTACTCAGCAGATGTAACTGAACACAAAATAAAACTTTGTACAGGAATAGCACACACCAACTTTACAAAATATACACGAGAATTTCTCTGTTATAAGTTTGTGTGCCAAAAACCAAAAAGAACACAATTTTACTC